TGTAAACAAAAACTTTTATTTTGGATGCGATTAATCGTTTGACATAATATATAAATAAATATATATAATTTATTTTTATTTTCACTCTTAATTTATACACATACAGTTCAGTAGCACTTTTCAAGTCCGTTATATCAGTATTCAAGATTTCTTTTAATTGTTTTTTATTTTTATTTATATATTGTTTTGCTCATGGAAAATAGATAATTTTGCAGTATTAATATGTAAATGTGACCCCAAAATGTGTGCAGGTTATTTTTCATGTGGTAGATTTTCAATCTTGGTGGTGTCTTTTATTTCAAAAGTAGCAAGGAGAGTCCTGTATATGTCACCTTTTAAAGCATGTTTCAAATGCAGTCTCCTGTTATGTGTCATCTTCATGTTGTGATCCACAAATTCTCCTTATTCCCAGCATGCCGAGGACATGGCTGCCAACCTGAAGAGCGAGAACGAGCACCTGCAGAAGAATCTGGAGGAGTCTGTGAAGGAGATGGAGAAGATGACGGATGAATACAACAAGATGAAGATCGCAGTCCAGCAGACGGATGCCATCATGGATCAGCTGAGAAAAGAACGAGATCATGCCAAGCTTCAGGTGCTTTAATCAAGATTATAAAATGGATAATTTCAGTCCTGAATGCTGATTGGTTGATATAATTTTCGTGCCACATGAACTGGTTCTCCTAGCCACTTTTGGCAGAAATAAATAGGTAAGGTTGAGTTTTGCATAAATCTAAGTAGTTTGAGTGTGCATGCATGTAATGGAGGGGGTGGCCTCTTTTATGATTGAAAGAAAAATAAATTGTTATTAATGGACTCATTTTAAATAGATCTCTTTTTAAAGGTCAGAGAGCTAAATGAACAAATCCAGGCTCGAGTTGAAGAGGACGACCCAGTTATGGCTGCCGTTAATGCCAAAGTTGAAGAGTGGAAGGTGAGCCCAAACTCGTAAATGTCAGCTTTGACAAATAAAACCAGTTTATATTCAAATGGTTCCATGAACTTTCCTAATTTCTCACTACTGCAGAAGTGGCTGTTGTTGTTTTTCTTTTGGTTGTATGTGGTTTTACCTGTCTGAAATTGCTCACGTCTTTGAGGAGCCATTTTTCTGAAGTTCTGAAGAAAAGGTTAAATATTTGCTTTTGTGCCAGACTCAACCAACAGTTTTGTCATCTGAGGAAACAAAAAAAAAAAAATTTGATTTTTTTTTTCTTTTTTTTTTCTACAAATTGTGCTAGCATGCATCTTCAGTGGAATTCAGCTTATAAAAATGTGGATAAAAATACTTGGGCTTTTAATTTATTGAAAAAAAAATATAAACTTATATATCAGTATTTTCTTTGAAAAGCTCCCAAATA